TTCCCACAGAAGCGACAAAGACCAAACTCACCCTCCCACAGAAGCGACTCAGACCAAACTCACCCTCCCACAGAGGCGACAAAGACCAAATTCACCTTCCCACAAAAGCAAAGACCTCCCACAGAAGCGACAAGGACCAAACTAACCCTCCCACAGAAGCGACAAAGACCAAACTCACCCTCCCACAGAAGCGACAAAGACCAAACTCACCCTCCCACAGAAGCGACAAAGACCAAACTTACCCTCCCACAGACGCGACAAAGACCAAACTCACCTTCCCACAGAAGCAAAGACCAAACTCACCCTCCCACAGAAGCGAAAAGGACCAAACTCACCCTCCCACAGAAGCGACAACGGCCAAACTCACCCTCCCACAGAAGCGAAAAGGACCAAACTCACCTTCCCACAGAAGCGACAAAGACCAAACTCACCCTCCCACAGAAGCGACTCAGACCAAACTCACCCTCCCACAGAGGCGACAAAGACCAAACTCACCTTCCCACAAAAGCAAAGACCTCCACAGAAGCGACAAGGACCAAACTCACCCTCCCACAGAAGCGACAAAGACCAAACTCACCCTCCCACAGAAGCGACAAAGACCAAACTTACCCTCCCACAGACGCGACAAAGACCAAACTCACCTTCCCACAGAAGCAAAGACCAAACTCACCCTCCACAGAAGCGAAAAGGACCAAACTCACCCTCCCACAGAAGCGACAAAGGCCAAACTCACCTTCCCACAGACGCGACAAAGACGAAACTCACCTTCCCACAGAAGCAAAGACCAAACTCACCCTCCCACAGAAGCGAAAAGGACCAAACTCACCCTCCCACAGAAGCGACAAGGACCAAACTCACCCTCCCACAGAAGCGACAAAGGACCAAACTCACCTTCCCACAGAAGCGACAAAGACCAAACTCACCCTCCCACAGAAGCGACAAGGACCAAACTCACCCTCCCACAGAAGCGACAAAGGACCAAACTCACCCTCCCACAGAAGCGACAAAGGACCAAACTCACCCTCCCACAGAAGCGACAAGGACCAAACTCACCCTCCCACAGAAGCGACAAAGGACCAAACTCACCCTCCCACAGAAGCGAAAAGGACCAAACTCACCCTCCCACAGAAGCTGACAAAGGACCAAACTCACCCTCCCACAGAAGCGACAAAGGACCAAACTCACCCTCCCACAGAAGCGAAAAGGACCAAACTCACCCTCCCACAGAAGCGACAAAGACCAAACTCACCCTCCCACAGAAGCGACAAAGACCAAACTCACCCTCCCACAGAAGCGAAAAGGACCAAACTCACCCTCCCACAGAAGCGACAAGGACCAAACTCACCCTCCCACAGAAGCGACAAAGACCAAACTCACCCTCCCACAGAAGCGACAAAGACCAAACTCACCCTCCCACAGAAGCGAAAAGGACCAAACTCACCCTCCCACAGAAGCGACAAAGACCAAACTCACCCTCCCACAGAAGCGACAAAGACCAAACTCACCCTTCCCACAGAAGCGACAAAGACCAAACTCACCCTCCCACAGAAGCGACAAAGACCAAACTCACCCTCCCACAGAAGCGAAAAAGGACCAAACTCATCCTCCCACAGAAGCGACAAAGACCAAACTCACCCTCCCACAAGACCAAACTCACCCTCCCACAGAAGCGACAAAGACCAAACTCACCTTCCCACAGAAGCGACAAAGACCAAACTCACCCTCCCACAGAAGCGCAAAGACCAACTCACCCTTCTCACAGAAGCGACAAAGACCAAACTCACCCTCCCACAGAAGCGACAAAGACCAAACTCACCTTCCCACAGAAGCGACAAAGACCAAACTCACCCTTCCCACAGAAGCGACAAAGACCAAACTCACCTCCCACAGAAGCGACAAAGACCAAACTCACCCTCCCACAGAAGCGACAAAGACCAAACTCACCCTCCCACAGAAGCGACAAAGACCAAACTCACCCTCCCACAGAAGCGACAAAGACCAAACTCACCCTCCCACAGAAGCGACAAAGACCAAACTCACCTCCCACAGAAGCGACAAAGACCAAACTCACCCTTCCCACAGAAGCGACAAAGACCAAACTCACCTTCCCACAGAAGCGACAAAGACCAAACTCACCCTCCCACAGAAGCGACAAAGACCAAACTCACCCTCCCACAGAAGCGACAAAGACCAAACTCACCCTCCCACAGAAGCGACAAAGACCAAACTCACCCTCCCACAGAAGCGACAAAGACCAAACTCACCTCCCACAGAAGCGACAAAAGACCAAACTCACCTCCCGACAGAAGCGACAAAGATCCAAACTCACCCTCCCACAGAAGCAACAAAGGACCAAACTCACCCTCCCACAGAAGCGACAAAGTCCAATCCTCACACCTCCCACAGAAGCGACAAAGACCAAACTCACCCTCCCACAGAAGCTACAAGATCCAAACTCACCCTCCCACAGAAGCGCCAAAGACCAATCTCACCCTCCCACAGATAGACTAAAGACCAAACTCTCCTCGCCTACAGAAGCACCATGACCAACTCACCCTCCCACAGAAGCGACAGAGAACCAAACTCACCTCTCCACAGAAGCGACAAAGACCAAACTCACCCTCCCACAGAAGCGACAAAGACCAAACTCACCTCTCACAGAAGCAACAAAGACCAAACTCACCTTCTCACAGAAGCGACAAAGACCAACTCATCCTCCACAGAAGCGACAAAGACCAAACTCACCCTCCACAGAAGCGACAAAAGACCAAACTCACCCTCACACAGAAGCGACAAAGACCAAACTCACCCTCCACAGAAGCGACAAAGACCAAACTCACCTTCCCACAGAGCGACAAAGACCAACTCATCCTCCCACAGAAGCAAAGACCACTCACCTTCTCACAGAAGCGACAAGGACCAAACTCACCTTCCACAGAAGCAACAAAGACCAAACTCCTCCTCCCACAAAGCGACAAAGACCAATCTCACCCTCCACAGAAGCAACAAAGACCAAACTCACCCTCCCACAGAAGCGAAAATGACCAAACTCACCCTCCCACAAAGCGACAAAGACCAAGCTCACCCTCTCACAGAAGCGACAAAGACCAACTCACCCTCCCACAGAAGCAAAGACCATCTCACCCTCCCACAGAACGACAAAGACCAAACTCAACCTCCCACAGAAGCACAAAGACCAAACTCACCTTCCCACAGAAGCACAAAGACCAAACTCCTCCTCCCACAGAAGCAAGACCAACTCACCTTCTCACAGAAGTGACAAAGACCAACTCACCCTCCCACAGAGCGACAAAGACCAATCTCACCCTCCCACAGACGTGACAAAGACCAAACTCACCCTCCCACAGAATCGACAAAGACCAAACTCACCCTCCACAGAAGTGACAAAGACCAAACTCACCCTCCACAGAGTGACAAAGACCAACTCACCCTCCCACAGAAGTAACAAAGACCAACTCACCTTCCCACAGAAGCGACAAAGACCAAACTCACTCTCCCACAGAAGCGACAAGACCAAACTCACCTTCCCACAGAAGCGACAAAGACCAACTCACCCTCCTACAGAAGCGACAAAGACAAACTCCTCCTCCCACAGAAGCAAAGACCAACTCACCTTCCCACAAAAGCAAAGACCTCCCACAGAAGCGAAAAGGACCAAACTCACCCTCCCACGAAGCGACAAAGACCAACTCACCCTCCCACAGAAGTGACAAAGACAAACTCCTCCTCCCACAGAAGCAAAGACCATCTCACCTTCTCACAGAAGCGACAAAGACCAAACTCACCCTCCCACAGAAGCGACAAAGACCAAACTCACCCTCCCACAGAAGCTGACAAAGACCAAACTCACCCTCCCACAGAAGCTGACAAAGACCAAACTCACCCTCCCACAGAAGGACAAAGACCAAACTCACCCTCCCACAGAAGCGACAAGGACCAAACTCACCCTCCCACAGAAGTGACAAAGACCAAACTCACCCTCCTACAGAAGCGACAAAGACCAATCTCACCCTCCCACAGAAGCGACAAAGACCAAACTCACCCTCCCACAGAAGCGACAAAGACCAAACTCACTCTCCCACAGAAGTGACAAAGACCAAACTCACCTTCCCACAGACGCGACAAAGACCAAACTCCTCCTCCCACAGAACAGAAGCAACAAAGACCAACTCACTTTCTCACAGAAGCGACCAAAGACCAACTCACTCTCCCACAGAAGCGACAAAGACCAAACTCCACCTTCCCACAGACGCGACAAAGACCAAACTCCTCCTCCCACAAAAGCAAAGACCAACTCACCTTTTCACAGAAGCGACAAAGACCAACTCACTCTCCCACAGACGCGACAAAGACCAAACTCCACCTTCCCACAGAAGCGAACAAAGACCAAACTCCTCCTCCCACAGAAGCAAAGACCAACTCAATTTCTCACAGAAGCGACAAAGACCAAACTCCCCTCCCACAGAAGCAACAAAGACCAACTCACCTTCCCACAGATGCGACAAAAGACCAAATTCACCCTCCACAGAAGCAACAAAGACCAAACTCACCTTCCACAGACGCGACAAAGACGAAACTCACCTTCCCACAAAAGCAAAGACCTCCCACAGAAGCGACCAAAGACCAACTCACCTTCTCCACAGAAGCGACCACTCACCTCTCACAAGAAACGACAAAGACCAAACTCACCTTCCCACCGAGCGACAAAGACCAAACTCACCCTCCCACAGAAGCGACAAAGACCAAACTCACCCTCCCACAGAAGCGACAAAGACCAAACTCACCCTCCCACAGAAGCGACAAAGACCAAACTCCTCCTCCCACAGAAGCAAAGACCAACTCACTTTCTCACAGAAGCGACAAAGACCAAACTCACTCTCCCACAGAAGCGACAAAGACCAAACTCACCTTCCCACAGACGCGACAAAGACCAAACTCCTCCTCCCACAGAAGCAAAGACCAACTCACTTTCTCACAGA